TATGTATTCTTTCTTTTATTTAATGGAAGGAAAGAGAAATTTCAGACTAAATGCTTTTTATTTAATATAGTATTAGGGCAGTTGGCAACATGGGCAAGGACTCTTAACAGGGAAGTTGCTCAGTTCCTTTTCAAATGGGTATACTTTTTCACCTTGGCTGTCCTTTGATATTCAATTTTAAATAGAATTATTCAAGCTTTTATTTCCATCTGCATTCTCATCCTTCAAATTGCATTTACCACTGATAAGTTTCCAGTTTCTTGAACATGTCATTAGCATCTGCTTTGCTGTAGTGTTGGTGTGATACATGTTTGTCTCAAAAGATTATGATCTTTTAACATAACCAGATCAGTTCAGATGCATTTTATCCTATGATGTTGGGAGTAGCTATAAAATTCAGTTACGGAAGAAAAGTCCTTCCCCCTGGAAATACAGAGTAAAGGTGTAAGACACCAGCATGGATTCAAGATCTTAATAGTGTTTGAAGGCTCCTGAGTTTTCCTCTTTTCTCTCAGCCACCTCTTCTTAGTCTGTTTGGATTTTCCTGTAAATTGTTTCCTGCTTGCTATATAGCATCTTTCTAGCTTAGAAGACCATTGTGGAAAAACTTCACACTGTCCTGAAAAATATCTTGACTGTCTTGCCCACCTTGGAGTACTCACAAGCTTCTGCTGGAATGCCATAGATTGTCTTGGATGCCACAAGTGACCAAACCAACAGGAAGGTTTCTGTTTAGAAATTACTATTAGGCTAAATTACTTTCTCAGGCTCTTTAGTGTTGTATTTTGATCATTCAAATGATGTTCAGATATGAAGACATCAGATGAGAAAATATGTACCCTTCTCTCATATTTTCTTAAAGATGCCCCATCACTACAATAACAAAATAATTTATTTTGCAATGAGTAGGCGTTATAAGAAATTCCACTAATTTTGTGTGGTTTTATGGCTGTGAAGAAGCAGAAGGGCTGAATATCTTAATTAAAAAAAAAAATTAAAATCCATCAGGTCCATAAATTTCCACCTCTTGCATCCCAAGATTATTTGGACTGAGACTTAACAAGAACTGCTGATGAAGCACAATGAGAAAAGCAGAATTCCTCCCTGCAGTATGGACCTTTTATGGTAACTGAGAAGCTACAAGGAAACTGTCAGCTTGTTTTTGTCCTCTACCTAACCCTCTGTATAAATATTGCCAACATTGGACCTCCCAGGAAGCGCGTGGCTAATTCAAAAAAACTTCTCGTCTCACTTCGAGCTCTTGCTGATGAAGTGGACTTTATAATAGTGCTTCAAATTACCAGTGCTCTACCACTGAACTAAGTCTTTCCTTCTGGTTTCTTAAGGTAGCAGCACCAATGTAATTGGGAACTAACAAAAATAATCTTAAAGAAATAAAAATAAATGGGGAGGGGCATGCAAACCCTGGAGCAGGAAACCTGCAAATGTACTTTAGAATCATAGAATCGTTAAGGTTGGAAAAGACCTCTAAGATCATCCAGTCCAACCGTCAACCCAACACCACCATGCCCATTAAACCATGTCCCTAAGCGCCTCATTTACACACCTTTTAAATACTTCCAGGGATGGTGACTCAACCACTTCCCTGGGCAGCCTCTTCCAATGTTTAACCACTCTTTCAGTAAAGAAATTTTTCCTCACGTCCAATCTAAACCTCCCCTGGCGCAACTTGAGGCCATTTCCTCAAGGCCATTCCCCTGTACGAGTACAGGGGCACTATCACTTCCCTGCTCCTGCTGGCCACACTATTTCTGATACAGGCCAGGATGCCATTGGCCTTCTTGGCCGCCTGGGCACACTGCCGGCTCATGTTCAGCCGACTGTCAACCAGCACCCCCAGGTCCTTTTCCGCCAGGCAGCTTTCCAGCCACTCTTCCCCAAGCCTGTAGCGCTGCATGGGGTTGTTGTGGCCGAAGTGCAGGACCCAGCACTTGGCCTTGTTGAACCTCATACAGTTGGCCTCGGCCCATCGATCCAGCCTGTCCAGGTCCCCCTGCAGAGCCTTCCTACCCTCGAGCAGATCAACACTGCCGCCCAACTTGGTGTCGTCTGCAAACTTACTGAGGGTGCACTCGATCCTCTCGTCCAGATCATTGGTAAAGATATTGAACAAGACCGGCCCCAAAAGTGAGCCCTGGGGAACACCGCTCATGACCGGCCGCCAGCTGGATTGAACTCCATTCACCACAACTCTCTGGGCCCGGCTGTCAAATAAGCAGTTGCTTATTTGAAATACCTCCTTTTTTTTTTTTTATGAATTCTTTAAAACAATTGAGCTTTGTATATGTTATTACATTACACTTAAATGCCTTATCAAGTAACCAAGAGTGAACAGTTTTACTGTCTGCAATTTGCCCTGTTCAATCAAAAATAAATAAAAATTAACATTTTATTGAAATGAAATGTATAGTTCCCGCTTCAGCTAGTATCTAGCACTATAAACCCAATTTAGGTTTTTTCAGAGATTTCACAGCAGCGGTGGCTGTTGCAAGTGGTCTTCAGGACAAGAAAATGTTTTTTCTGAGAGACTGCATATTACATGCAAAGTATTCAAATAAACCAGTCTGACTTATGTCAGACGCAATTAAATATGTTATTAAAATTTAAAAGAAACAGAAATTGCTTGTTGCTTGTAAATGTGCAGTGTTTATAAATATCAGAACTGTTTTGGTCTGCATGCTTATCCTAGGCAAAAAGGAACAATATATCTGTTGGGAATCACCTTTTAGTCTCAAGCATTTCAATTCAAATTTAAGATGCAGCTGTCCCCTATGCCAGTATGGTGTGGGGGAAAGTGCAGGTTGTGGGAGTTTGGTAGATGCACTGAGAGCAATGTAAGGCTCTTATGCTTTGGATATTCCTCAAAATAAAAGCATGTAATTACTTGGCTAGTTGGAGTTAATGCTTAATTGATTTGCTTTACCAGGCATCCTACAGTGATGAGTATGTTTGCCTAAAGAGGAAGAGCAAATGCAGCAATTTAAAGGTCCCTAAGTCCTTCTCTTCAACTTAACTTGTATTTTCCTGCTTCTGCGTACACAAAGGGATGAAGTCTTTTCTCTCAGTCCTGTATGACAGCTTCTCCAGCAGTAGATTTGTCATTGTCCTTCATCAGCACTTATTTCTTCAGATACTTCCTAGTTGCTTTAGGTCTTCACTAGTTAATAGAACTAAAAGGCCTGGAAAATGAACTAATGGCATTGTCAGGACAGGTGTATTGATAGCATAATCCTCAATGCAAACATATTCTGAGTTACTGGGGAGATAGTCCATCATCTTCAGCTACTCTGCGTTATCTTGTCAGTGAGCCTCTGGCAGGCAGGTGAGAGGTCACTGCAGTCTCTGTAAGAGATCTGTATTTCCAGGTAGGATGGAGAATGATCTGAGCAGTGACAGGAAGTTGAGGACAGACATAAATCCTCTCATGCCTTTCAGGTTTGTATTTGCGAAGAAATATGTAGTAGTAATGTTAATTAATGTGATTAATAGTAAATATTAATCTGACCTGAGAAATTCCGAAGGGGTTGTTTATAATATGGGAAGAGGTGATTTTTCACTGTGCAAACAGTAAGAAAATATGGTGGTTTTTTTTTTTTTTTGGGGGGGGGGAGTATATTCCTTTCATTATGACCTAGAGACCATAATGATCAAGAGACCAATAAGTTGCTGGCCTGGCAGCTTAATGAGACAAGTCTTTTCCATATGTTTTATATCATGGACCATAGGTACTGATAACTAGTAAGGTACTGAATCTCATAGCTAATAAAGGGAAGCATAAGAGAAAAGCTTTATACTTGGAAGTTTTCTAGTCGTTTAACCATATTCTTTAAGGTTTTATATATAAAACAGCGTACGTTGTATTACTGTCCATAATCTATTTTAATTACAGATAATAACCAGTCAAAAGAGAGCAAATGCAGAACACTTGAGACAGAAATCAATTTATTTTAATCTGTAGAATTCCTTGCCTCATGTTTCCTACTAACCTCCCCTACCATGCAGGTGCCTTGATGTTCCACTCCCCTTTCTGCCCTCCTCAGCAGCCCTGCAGTGGCATATGAGGTTGTTGCCTTGTTTGGTTTTTGGGGTCTAGTGCTTGTTGTCCAAAAACGGCTGCTTTGCTCATACTGATAGAACTTTGTACTTAAGGTCGTTTCCTGTAAGAAGCGTGCCAAGTCTGGACCTCTTACCTTCCAAGATCAGATGCGTTCAGTTTAAGGTGGTGGAAGCAGGCAGGGATTGAATGCTGTAGCATTGCGGAAAGTAAAAACAGAGGTAGCTGAACACCAGGCCATAATACAGCTGCTGTGATAACAGGTGCAGTTCTGACACTCTTTAAGAGAAGAATGAGTCACAGAGGCAGAAAGCATTGCTTGGTTTGAGGGACAAACAGACGTGAATACTGATCCACATTCATTTATTTGCCCGTGTTCTGAAATGACATCCACAGACATTTGGAATAGAACAAAAAGAATGGTTTGTGCTGATACAGTGATACGAGCCATGGCTTTCTAAACTGGCAGGTGGAGAGTGCTCAGATGTTCTTGTTGCTACATTTCATAAGCAAAGATGTCTTTTGAGGAAGTAATGACATTTCTATCAACAGGAGAATGAACACTTTGCTTTTCTAATGTTAGAAACATTGGAACTAAATTCATCGCTCCTCAGTGTCAGTGCTTCCATTAAACCAATGATACTACTCAGATTTAAGTTACACCCCAGGGCACCGGCCATGGCAGTGGATCCTTATTCTACTCACCATTCTTCTCCTATTTGCATCATATAGAGCCTAGAATAAGATACCTGTTTTCACTCTGGTGAATCTCTGTTAGTGTTTGAATACAGTGGCAATGAAATAGGTGGGCTTTCTATGCAGGAAAAGGTGAATATCTTGTGCTGTCATTGCAGCCAATATATTCGTTTGTTGTTTTTTTTTCAATAGTAAAAATGTTACATTTCCATTAAAAATTTAATTTTAGGGTAAGATGGTGAAAGGAATGGGTGGTGCCATGGACCTGGTATCCAGTGCGCAGACCAAAGTGGTTGTCACCATGGAGCACTCAGCTAAGGTAAGGCTCTGCTGCTTTCTAAATAAGTGTTTTGTGCTGTACAGAAGAAGAAGAAGAAGGAAAAAAAAAAAAGACATTTTACATTAATTCTGCTACTTTGTGAGGCTTTGACAATTTTGCTGTTAGTTACTATGGAGGTGCAACAGGGGGCTAGGTTAGTATGGTTCCTTTCCACTTGTAAGTGAATCATTCACCACAGAAAAAAAATGAAATATTAACTTGATGTTTAAAAGCTGCACACATTTTTTAGTTACTTCATGCAAATTTAATGAGAGTGGCAATTGCCAGACCTACAGTAGGTGCTACCCCAGAGGTTTTACTCTTTGCCTAAGAATAATTTGAAAAATGAGGTTCCCCATGGTTAAATACTTATTATGAAGGAAAGATACTTACCTTTGAAGTTGCCAGTCAAATTGGTACTGACAGCTTAATAGAATAGATCTTTTTGGCATGATGAGATGCAGGCTGCCTTACATTATTATGTGATAGAGGTTAATCTAGTGACTTCTTTGTGAGTGGGGTTTTATAGATATAAACAGTCTCCCACAGAAGGTCACAAGAAACTTGTTATTTGAAACTTCTAAAACAGGACTGTCCAAACTATCAGAAAAATGTACTGAAGGACAAAAATTTCTATTTTTAGGGAACTATACCAAACATTTAAAATTAACTTTTTGTTTAATTTATGTGTTTCTGTTATTCCACATTTGTTGTATGTCTGCGATAAGAAATAGTTGTGTATCGTTCAAGATAATATCCCTGTCAGAATGCATAAGGGCAAGCATAAGGAATTTGCATGGTAAACTGTAGTAAATATGTAAATATGAAAGCTAAATACATTAACAGTTGTGTGTTTCTTAAATGTGATTTGAAGATGAATTTTCACTTTAAAAAAAACCCAACTGTTGAAAAATATAGTAGTTTCACAGTTTATACTAAGCTGTGATCTCAAGGGGCACATTTTCAGTAACAGGGCTGAGTCTGACCCAATAGTTTTCACATGCATATGTGTAAATAAGTAAACAAAAGTACAAAGCAAATTCATGTATACGACTTGCATCCCAAAAACTGGATATGTAATTATCCATTTGCTCAGCCACATACTTCAGGTATTAATGTGATCTGAATAAATATTTCTAGTTACTGTGGAATTTGGTTAAGGCTCAGAGTCCACACACAGTATAATTATTCATGCCAGTTTTTCTCTTAAAAGTACTGCTACCAAAATCTTTTTTCAGTACAGTGTTTGGAAGTTGTTTGCATGTTGTTTTTTTGTCAGTAGGAGTACTGAAACCTGAAAAAGATGAAAACACAGATAGGTTCACTGTTACAAACAGTCCAGGCACAGACTTACTTATTTTGGCATATGTATACATAACTTGGGCTCTTATGTACATGGGATGCCTGGTGTGCACTTCTAGAGAGCCAGTTATAGGCTTTCATAAATTATTTCTTCCGCTTTCGTGAGAAGGCACTGCAAAACTAAACTATGTGCATGATTTTTCATTTTATTCTTATTTTAAAATGGAGGGTCTTGCCCCTCTTTCCTCTTACCTAGCCTCTTTTTGGGGTCTTCATACTGCTTCTTCTTGTTTGCTCAGAAGTGAAGATGATGAAATATGGAAATGTAATGTTTGGAAGTCAAAAGCTGCTGTTTCATTTTTCAGGTGCTCCTCTTTTTTTTTTTTTTTAATACACAAGCAAATATAGCACCCGTGAGACCAGTTCTGAAAGTCAGAAGTCTTTTATTGGGGTGACTGCTTCTTACAGAGCCGATTTTATATTCATGGCTTTTTAATTCTTTACACCAAAGATTTTCTCACAAACTTACTGCATCGGTATCTATGCATCAGAGGAGCAATCTTTCGTCCTGCTCAAAGCCCAGTGTGCTACTGAGTGAAAGAAATGTCTGCGTGTACTGTGACAGTCTGTTGTGTCTGCTAGCTTTTTAGTGTAGGGACATTTTTGTCATCTTATTCTCCAAATAAATAATAAGATATACCAAAGTCTCCTGTAAATCAACAGCAGTCAAGATTTGGTGGATGGAAATACAGTGGAAAGCTATGGGATATACGCAGTACCTTCAATGGACACGTTCAAGAGTTGCTGCAATAAGTAGTTCCTGTAGTCAGTTGTGTCTGATTTGTGATCTTGTGAAGGATCTTTTAATCCTTTTCAAGTTTTTTTGTATCATAGTAATGGCTTGTTAAACATTAAAATAAGTTTTCTAAGAGCTTAAAAGCGCATTCTCCTTTCTCTACATGTTGCAGTTTTTAAACATAGCAATAGTCTGAGTCCTTGCAGTGCAGCCAAAATATAATTTATACTTAATTATGAGGGTGAAACTAGTATCTGTCTTAACATTCAAATGAATACTCAAAGAATTTTCCTCTTTTTAAACTCTGATATGCAGTATATTACAAATAAAACTAAATAAGCTTTGCCCAAAATTATTTACATTTTTAATTACTTAAATCTTTACATGTAATGAAAACCAAAAGGTACAGAAGAAAGATGACAGAACATGAAATGAGTTTTGTAGAAGACTCTTCAGCTTAAGAAATGCTATTGAGGAAGGGTGACATAGAAATACACAAAATAATAAGGGCATGGAGAAGATGGATGCAGAATGGCTAGTCACTGCCTTACAAAAGAAGTAGGGGTGGCCAACTGAAATTAGCAACCAGCATGTTTAAAACAAGAATCATAGAATCGTTTAGGTTGGAAAAGAAGAAACATTTTTCACAGCCAGCTAATGAAGTTGTGGATGATCAGCAGGATGATGCAGGAACTCAAAGAATTAAGTCTACATGAAAGGAACTCAACTGTTTTATGAGCTTAAGTTCATCAGTGACAATTAAACAGCATTGCCCAGAAGCAGTCTCTAGCTCAGGAAATCTAGACATCACAGCATGTCAGGAACCAGGAGAGCATATCTGTGGAAGGGTGGCTCAATTTTTGCTCCATATGCTTAGGCCACTGTGAGACACTTGGCAAATGGCCCTTAAGTCTAATTCATTATGGTATTTCTTAATGTATTTTTTGCTAAATTACTTTTTTGTTCATAACCATGAAGAAAAATAATAGAATGAAAGGTTGTTATTTAATCTCTAAACAGTCACTGTGCATCTGTGCCTAATCTGCTAAATACTGCCTAAGAGAAATAGAAATCAAGTTCTTTCTTACCCCCATACCATCATTGACATGTTTTGCAAAACATAGTAAAGTTATGGCTGGTAATTGTTCCATGTTGTGAAATGAGTTGTCTATGCCATTCAGAAAAATAGAATGGAAACTTGTTTTAAGCACTTGATTTGGACGTGACATGGAGCACTGAATTGAAAACTCCTTTCTATCATTGTGAATAGTTTTGATTTTAATGTGTTGTGGAAGATTAAGGACATTTTTGTTCTTCAACAACAGAATTTTTTACTTAAAACAGACTGAAACACCTTAAGGTTTTATGTATCTACACAACAGTCTTTTCCTTCATCTGAACAAATCCTATATAAACTCAGATGGTAAAAATTCATGCAGTTCCATTTGGATTCCTACTCTGATAGTGCCCTGATGGATGTCTTCCAAAAGTCGCCTTTAATGCTAACTGGTAATACAATAATCTTCACCTCAAGCGTTAAGAAGCTGGAATGTATTAGTTCTCAGGGTCACAGAGCCATTCAAGCTGTCACCTCTGCAAGTCCATGCATTTCAATCTTAGTTGGGTTCCAAGAAGACACACTTCATTTCATATGGCTGAGAGGTATACCTGAAGATATTACATATAGCACAGATTTGTAATCACTCTTAGGCAAAGTGCGCAGGAAGGTCCTCAAGATGGACAAGATATAAGTAGATCAATTAAAAGTAACACTGTCACAAGTCGTTATTTTCATTAAGGGTGAATGAGTTTCATCAGAGTAGTTGCCTTGGTACCAGTGTGGATCTTGCCACTATAATTAGAATGAAGAAGTAGTTCTTCACAGAAAAAGATAAATTCAAAAGCACATGGATTTCTCATTTTGTTACCACTCAGGAGTCAGACTGGCTGAGAGATGGTTCCTGAGTTTATATTAAGCCTTAAGGCAAACTGATTATTGTAAATTTAAGAAGTATTGAGTTCAGATGGTTAAATGAGACATGTAATACTCTGAGAATTTTGAAATGCATAACTGAAAATTGATAATTAGAGAAAAAATAAAAGCATGTGATAATGGGAGAAATGTGCACTTAATGCTACCTCTGTAAAATGCCTACAAATACTGACTAAAAATGTAGTGATCCATCTCTTTCATATCCATTCAGAGTTCTTGCAGCCTACATTCATTTAGCTGGATCTAAAGCCATTTGTGAACTCCTATTAAAAAAACTGAAGAAAAAAAAAGAAAGGAAAGAAAGAAGAAAAAAAAAAAAGAAGGAAAAACCCAAAAATCTCACCACCCAAACCTTACCTGCCCAGCTTCATGTCAGAAGTTATGTCTTCTCATTAGGTAATATTTTTCCCAGGATTTAGAGGAACTGGCTTTTGATGCCCCAGAAAAGGAAGTGCCTTAAAGTAAATCCTATTTTCTATATATACATTATTTTCTACTATATTTGCATCCTGATTTGTTCTTTCTGAAACAGAGGTAATGTAACTTCTGTGTAGCACTTGAAGATGAGCATATTGTACTCACCTCTTAGTCTGCTTTTGGGCTTTCCTGGAGAGATGGAGGGAATGGGAATTCAATGTGGGTAAAGAAACTGGATTTACTATTTTCAGAGCATGACTATGCACTTGAGACCTGGGGATTTGAAATGCCTGTGTGTATGGCTGATCCTACATATACTGTTTGTGATAAAGTATAAGACACAGAAATGTCGTGCCCGCAATGTCTTTCTCTAATTTTTGTCCTTAACATGTCATCAGTGAGGTCCCATGTATCTCTTATCCTCACATTCACAGCAGGAGAGACAAATTATTAAGCAGAAGTATGCAGAACTTCTAAACTCAGGAGCCCACTCAGTGGTACAGTGAGATTCTTATCTCCCTGTATGTGGGATTTAAGTAACAACTGTCCCAAATTGCCAGAGATGTAACCTGCCATAGAAGTTAATTCAAAGACTGTTCTGAGTACAGTGAATGTTTCAGTAACACTGAATGGCTACAGCTGTAATTTTCATGTACATATTTGAATTCTGAATAAGTTGTGTTGTTTTTGAAAATTAATGTTTGTCTGCATATTGTTAAACACAGGGTAATGTCCATAAAATCTTGGAAAAGTGCAATTTACCACTTACTGGGAAACAATGTGTAAACCGCATCATTACAGAGAAGGTAAAGTACTTTTCTTGAATCCTTGTCACTACTTTCCTCCTCTATCCTAAGAAGGGACACTCAGTAAAAGTAGTAAAGCTTAGTAAAAATGAAGAATGTATTCGGTATCTGTTGTCAATGAAGGGCAAAGATTCCCTTGGAGTTCAATTCCAGAGGTCTGGGGGCTCATATTTTTCCTTATAAAGCTTTCACCATTGACATCTAGCACACTGGGCCATACTCTTAGACACCTTCAGAACAAAGATGCTACACGTGAGAAGTCTGCAAAGTGTGTATCTCCTTATTTTTCCCAAAGTATTCCTGTAAATTTGCCATGTGAGATGCAAATCCTCAAATACAGCTGTAATCACAGCTCGGTTTTTTTTTTTCCAGCAGAGTGACAACTGTGTAGCACCTATATGTCAGACAATTGGCATCTTCCTTGGTATATACTACAGACTTTTTCAGAGAAACACAACCTGTAGCTGTAGCAGGGCTTTAATTCTTTTGTCCTTACTTGATTCCATTTGTGAAGCAGTTTACTCTCCAGTGCAAGTACATGTGAGCATCTGATATTGCCGCTGCTCAAAGTACATTAGTGGATCTTTTCAGCAAAGGTTAAGTGACTTAAGTTTTTGCTGTAATCGCCTTTTATTATCAGTGTTTACATTTGAAGGGCTTAGAGTAGTCCCTCTGTGAGCCATCTATCATGCTAAATAGAATGCATCAAAGGTGCTGATGTAGAATTTGCTTTCATCCAGTGGTGTATTGCTACTGTAATTTAAAGGGATTTTTCTCCACAAAGGAAGGGAAAATCAGTGAAAATGTGGAAGTCTTTCCAGTCTTCTACCAACTGGCCACATACAAATGTAAAGTACAAAAAAAAGAGAGTGAACAAGGACTGATAGAAAATAAACAACATGCAGAAATTTCTCTAAGAGTCACCTCTTGTCAGATCTGGTTGCTTTATTAGGAGATGACACAAATGTACAACAGTACTTAGATAGTGTTGCAAATTCTGTTTCCACACTAGCTTGCAAGTGTGTATGTTCCTTATGCCCAGCTTCTCTTTTAACACTTAGAGAAGCTATCGTTTTTCAGTCCCGTAAATCAGCCTCGTGCCCAGAGGACAGCTGAAATACAGTATACATCTGTGATGAGCTTAAGACTTCACTTTCATTTCAAGTTCAATCTTCACTGGTCTTTGCTACTGCCTTTTTTTTTTCTTTACGGGAAATGACCATAGACCTTATGGTTCCCTGGCAACTAGCTTTCAACCTGTCTGTCTCCCTTTGGTAAGCACCATTAAAGTGCACATCGTTTTACAGGTGTTTTTATTTGGTGTGCTTGTGAGCCTTGGAAGTGGAAAGCATATCTCATGAAGACATCAGAAAGAACAGCCTTTGCTCCTTCAGCCACTTCCTCCCAGGCTTTCTATTAAAAATACAAGAAATCTTGTCTTTCATTGCTAGCTTCCAAAAATACTAACATTTGCACTGGGTGTGCAATAGCTGTTGGAGAAGCTTATAATCTGATGAAGGTGATCAACCACTCCGTACCTGTCTACTAGCCTTAAAGCGAAATAGAAGAATGAGGGAGACATTGTATTTCCCTGTTTTCCTTCATGATCTCTTGGTGAGCATTGTCTTGCAGCAAAGAACGTCTCGGCCCTTTCCTTTGGACCTCCCAGTTCTCACCAGATTGGAGCAGGAGGCACGGTCCTCATTTCATGCAGTGAAGAACAGTTGCACGTTTTCCCCCCAAAACTAACACATCTCATATTTTAGTTTCTTTCAGGTATGAATAAATGTAGCAGAAATCTTTATTGGTCAGTCAGGAAAGTGAAAAGTGAAACCAATTGATAATGGCATCTTTTGTTATTGAGGGAACGCTACCTACTTCAGCACACGATTTTGTACAATATTACTACTTAACATCCTCATTTTCTATTTTGATAATAAAAAATTAATTGTGTGTTATTTGAACCTGACAGGCTGTGTTTGATGTGGACAAGAAGAAGGGATTGACCCTTGTGGAAATCTGGGAAGGACTGACAGTGGATGATATCAAGAAAAGCACTGGCTGTGACTTCACGGTAAGTCATTTTACAAACATATAGTTAGTCTGGTGTCAGAACAAATATTCTCCACAAACATCACATGAAGACTTGTAGACGCAGTAAGTTTCCTCTTTATAGGTGAGGGCTGGGTAGATTGCCTGTGGGATTTACAGTGAAAATAAGATAATTTAGGGTTAATCTAGTATGATTCTATCAGAAGCATTAGAAGCTAGGAAAAACTGAAGACATGGAGAAATGCTGAAGAGTGAAAAGACAATGTGGAAAGGGAACTCCTGTGATGCTTTGAAGAGGGGTGCTGATTCATATCTGAGAGGTAGATGAATATTTATTTTTCCACTGTATAGTTAGTTTACCTAGCTCTCTGTTGCTAAGTTTTCATGCTATCTTTAGGTGGGGTTGTGAGTCTTCTCAACAGGGGTGAATACACCTCTCCACTCTGTGTTACTAGTGCCAATAAATTAAATGCTGTACTGTTGATATCTTTGCTTTTTCTCTCCCATTGCCTTGTACAAAGGAAGCTTATGTTCTGCATTAATCCAGAAAGCCACTGCCTTTTGACCTTCATATTCATTCTTAAGTCTCACTTAATACTAAGACAGAACTGGCTTATTAATGGAAAGCTGTAGCGCACTAGATTGTAACTGATTGTGTATGTGTGGTTGATAACATACAGTTTCTTCATGGCCGCCTCCTACATGCACATTACGAAATTTTTTCTTCTGTCTTGTGAGGTCTCCTGAGGCAGCCCTCATTTGGTGAGGACAGCGAGTATGACAGTATACATTGTGCTGTAAAAATAGTTGGGGAATATTTGGTAATGAAATGCAATACTCTTCCTCTTTGCACCGTTTCATGGCAGGGCTAGGGCACATAATTGAAAGATTGCAGAGCAGTTAGTATGTGGAAGAGTTTGTTATTAAGGCTTTGAGCATACCATTGGTAGTAAGTAAAACTTCCTGAGCAATGAGCCTGTGGAATTTCATTCATTTCCTGTGTCAGTAAGAGAGCATTTCTGATAACTAAATATGATAGTGTATGTTTTTCTTGTGGATCTTTAAATATTTTAAATGAAGAGCTGTTCACTTCTGAAAATACATTCATTTATCTGAGAAAAATTGTTCGGTTAAAGACGAGTGACCTGCAACTGCAGACTGCAGGAAGCCTACAAAATCACTTTGCTCCATTATTAATTTTCCATGTAACATGTTATGGAAGTCATTATTATTTTTTAATTTACAGTGGAAGCAACCTTCCATATTCAGCAATTCTGTGTGCAAAAGAAATTATTCATTCAGCTTCTGACTGTGATTTAGGAAAAAATGATAAATTTTTTAAAACTTAGATAATATCAGGACTTCTTTTTCTTTGGCTGGTCAGCCTGTCAAACAGATATCCAATATTAAAACATAAAAATGACCGTGTAGGTTTGTATCTATTGCAGTCAGTGACTTTGTTTTGTTCTTGCATATTTAATTTGGGGATTAACTTCATGATGAATTTGAAGGTGCCATGTTTAGTAAGCATTTAAATAGACTGAAACTACAGGAAAGGACTTTTGTTGTCAGAAGGCACCAGTCCTACGTGTTCCAAACCTGCTTGTTTGGAAGGAGTTGGCTTCTTTTTGGTTCAGGTGACCAATATATATGTATTTAATTGAGCGTGTGTTACCCAAAGTAAAGTCCAACAGCCTATGCTCAAGGCAATGAAAGCAGAAGCAACAAAAGAATTCAGAGAAAGAAGCGATAAGCTTAAAATGATGGGCTATGAGACTAAGCTTTGCAGCAGCACAGTGGATATGATAGGGCAAAACTATTAGGACCAAAAAAAAAGATTAGCACCACCCACTGTCCCTTAGTGCTTTCCTGTAAATGTTACAAAGGCATGGTACGAATTTTGAATCTTTAGGATAGCCTGAAGTTAGCAATTGATGGGAGGTATTGCAATAGTCCACCATCTAGGTCCCCGGGATCTGTCTTACTGGGAACAGGAAGGGACACTTCACAGGCACCATTTCCTAGTTCTCCTGAAGGGAAACCCCAGCGCAGTCTGCTTTGTACGGCTGCCGTGGTCATGCATGAAATCACGAGCTGCACTAAAGGAGCTGTGGGCATGAAAAATGTAGATGCTGCTTGGTTTATGCACTTTCATATTCTTATCTTGAAAGCATGCGGCTTGCATAAATGCTTGCAAAGCAATGCTTGCTTGCAAAGCATGTACCCCTGCCAAGGTATGCATGGCGGTCAGCATTACCTACTGATTGGTAATTCCAAAAACGCTGGAAATCTCTATAGCACTGCAGATGGAAAGCATGAACCACAATGATTTGTTTATTAAAGCTGTGGCATGGAAGAGCACTAGCTCTTCCTTTCTTTCTTTCTTGCCGTCCCCCCCCCGCCCCCCCCCCCAGCCCCCCCTCCTCTAAAGAATGTTTCCAGGCCTCAGTGACCCAGTCTTCCTCTCATTGAAATCCTTACCAAATCTTCTACTGACATCTGTGACAGCAAGACTGGGTCACTGTTGCATAATATCGGACCCTTGATGGCCTGATTTTCATATACAGTGAACACCTACAGCTCCTTCACTTAGTTTTGGAGTTCAGAAAATAGAGATTTGAGCATTGTGATAGGCATTTGTTCAGAAAGCGGCATCCTCAGTTCTTTTTTCCACATTTCAAGGCTCTGCCTCAGGCTTCCTTGCAAGAGTAACAGTTGTGCTTGTGATTATGTTCACTGAATGAGACATCTTGTTCTTGTTTACGTCGGTAATAGGAACTTTAGTGATACTGTATTGCTACAGTAAAAGCAGGTTTTTTTGATCATGTCCGAAGAAGGGCAATGAAGCTGGTGAAGGGTCTAGAGCACAAGCCTTATGAGGAGCGGCTGAGGGAACTGGGGTTGTTTAGCCTGGAGAAAAGGAGGCTCAGGGGAGACCTCATCGCTCTCCACAACTACCTCTACAAAGGAGGCTGTAGTGAGGTGGGTGTCGGTCTCTTCTCCCAAGTAACAAGCGATGGGACAAGAGTAAATGGCGTCAAGTTGTGCCAGGGGAGGTTTAGATTGGATATTAGGGAAAATTTCTTCACTGAAAGGGTTGTCAAGCATTGGAACAGGCTGCTCATGGAAGTGGTTGAGTCACCATCCCTGGAGGTATTTAAAAGACGTGTAGATGTGGTGCTTAGGGACATGGTTTAGTGATGGACATGGTTTAGACTTGGCAGCGTTAGGTTAGTGGTTGGACTTGGTGATCTTAAAGGTCTTTTCCAACCTAAACGATTCTATGATTCTATGATACGCTTTGCTAGTTTGAAACAGAACTAATGGGTGGAAAATGAGGAGTTGATCCTTTTCTAGCAGCTGTTTTCAGTGGATGCAGTGAATGATCTTAACTAAAGCAAACATCTCTCTAGGTTCATTACAAGTGAGATTTTAAGGGATGGCTGTACTTTTATATATAACTCTCTCTCTCCATGCAGACTACTCCTTTTTGGAGAGGAGAACATTATAGCCTATATGGCTTTGTTTGAGACACATTTGGCTATACAGTCCCATTTTCACAGCCTGCTTACTTATTTGGAAAACATCTCCTAAAGGACATTTGCAACAACAAAATGCCAAAAAAAAAGTGATTTAGAGTCAACAATCTTCATTATAGACTGGCATCATATCAAAAATAAACAATTCGCCCTCGATTTTACTGTGCTGTGAAAACAGTGTTGGCTTATGTTGCACGCTTAAATCAGATTTGCTGTAGCCTAGCATATAGATCACCTTGGCAGGTAATCTGTTTGGGCTTGTACTGGCTTATGCCGTTGATGAGACCATGAGAGAACAGACTGAGAACCATACTTTTGCAGACATATTTCATTATAAAAATAATCAGGATAAGCCTGTCTGGGTAAAAATTCCCCATCCCGCCCTCCCCCCCCCCCTTTTTTTTTTCCTTAATGTAAAAGCTCAGTTTTACGAAATGATCTTAAAAGATAACATGGAGTTTAGGAAAAGCATCTGCCAAGGAAACATTAGGTAGTTGAATAGAGATTGACTAGGGTATGTTTAAAAAGAAATTGACTGTCCAAGTTCAAGCCAGTGAGTAAAAAATAAGAAAGGATATGGTTTTATTTTCTGGAAGTACATTTTCCTTTGAGGAAACCGGCTGATGCAGGATTGAGTCAATTTTTACATGGATGTTGTGTTTTTCCCTGATCAGTCACCACCACTGCAAGAGTCACATCAGGGACAGATTTTTGTACAAAAGCTGATGTTGGAATTGTGGTTTGTTTTTATCTGCAATTTCAAATAATTAGGAGTTAATAAGGGATAAGCAACTTCTATTATTTTAACAAATATGCTAACACTGGTCATATTTTTTTGAGGGGCTGTTTTTACATTTTTGGACAATAACTTGCTTTTGCACACCTGATAAGGTCATTAGAAGTTATTAGGACTCAGCATCATTCAGAATCAGGCCTTGAAAGAACTGCTTGCTAAAGAAACATAATGAAATAAGCATAGGGCTGTTTGTGTGGCTGAAAAGGGTAGTTTGGGGTTGGAAATCAGAGAGTCAACAAGCTTGAATTGCAGGGAGTCCCTGGGGCCGTGTGTCCCCTTACCAGTTCAGAGGCTGCATACAGGACTGCCCCGGCAAACTTGTCCCAGTACACCTACCTGTTCAACGTTAGCTAAGTATTTTGAAGCTTCCAGGATAAGCTGTGCTTCCTGTAAGTGAAATAATGTTGAGAATGTGTTGCTTAGGAGGTACTGTAAGAAAATAGCAACTCTGCGGCTGCGTACTGTAAAATAGTCTTCATTAAGCACATTCAGCCCTTACCAAATGCTGTGCTCTTAGTACAGTGTTACCAAATTGACTGACTCTACTGGGATTTAAAGCAATGGCCTCAGGGGGCTCTCTGCATTTCAGACTTGATTACTCCTTGTTTTCCAAGCACAAACTATCGCTTTTGCTACATTAGCATTTTTCTGCATATATAATCACATTATATTTAGGGCAAACAAGTTGTATTTGGGTCCAGTTCTGAGTGGTGCTGGGCTCTCGCCACCTCTGTTACCTTCAGCAGGCACTGTGGCACTTCAACACTCATGGGGATCAGACCCTTTCTGGAGCGGATAGTGGTACACACAAATGACAGCTGTTAGCATCAGATGTGCAGACATTACATTTAACGTAATATGCTCATTCAAATGTAAAACCCTTGAGGTTTTGATGGCACCAACATCTACAACAGCAGAAAAACAATAATCTCCTCCAGTAATTGGCTTTTGTCATTATTTGCAGAATACAGATTTCAGTGGTGCTATCTTCATCCTCCAGTTTTTGTCAGGAACCATCCCTGGGTGAGGCAGAAATAGTCCCAAATTAAGTGAGACACATAGGCACTTGGAGTCAGAAATGTTGAAACATTTCTGGAACTAGTCCAGGAATGTTGGTGCACTCAGGGACTTTTTGCAGCTCCTCTACACTTGTACCAATTACATCTATTTGTTATCCTAGTTCACACACAACTTTGAAAAATCAATGAACGGTTTCCATCCACTGAAAATGTTTCATTAGCATTTGATACAGTAAACACATTCTTCATGAACTAAGCTTTCCTTGGTGGCTGTTCTCATAAGGTTATAAATGATGATATATAGTGGCTGGAGGAAGGATAACGTAGAAATCTGACTGGTACGGGAAGTACAGCCCTGTACCTCTAAAAGAAAGAGGCTTTAATGCTTGGAAGGGCCCTTATAGATCATTCTTTCATGCGTTAGCTTGTTTAGTACTATTAAGTGAAAAAGATGGGATAAGGAGGCAGAAGGAATGCAGTATGTGATGTTTCAGTGGGACACATTAATCAACTAGGAGCCAGATTATCTGTGGAACTGTTTTTCATCCTGAACAAGTAATATCACATGAGTTATTTTTGATCTTCATCCTGGGGCACCTATTTAAATAGGGCTGGGAACAGGAGATATTTAAAGAGGCTTGAATCTTCTGTGGAGAGCTTTCCCTCAGGGTATTTGTGTAGACCTGCAGTCAGGGTTCGACCAAATGTTAACCATTGCTACTCTTCAAAGTATTCTCTGTATTGTTCCCATTTACACCTTGTTCCTCATTGAGTTTCCTATTTAGGCTTACTGTGTTTTGTTTTTGGTCTGCCTGATATCTTATAATATCACTAGTTGATTTGTACAAGTATATGGAATGAAAACAATAGAATACATAAGTGTGTCCTCACACAAAAATGAATGTGAATGGAAAAAGGCAAGTTTTTAAAAAAAAAGGTAAAATTAGAAGTATTGAACTATATCATCATCAAACAAATCAAATGAATGTGAATGGAAGAAGGCAAATTTTTTAAAAATAGGTAAAATTAGAAGTACTGAATTACATCATCCTCAAACACTCAAATGTATACACATACTATAGGTACAGTATGTGTATAATATACATATACATTTGATTGTATACCCCCTGATAATAGGCATATTCCAAAACTCAGTTGACTACTTCTGCACAGATCCAGCATTGACAGACAGCATCCTATCTCCTGGTGGGTTGGGAGGAAAAGCAGAATGAACTTGGCTATTCAGCAAAGAAGGCAAATTATCGGTTTAAGATTCCTTGGCGTGCTTGTTTTAATACTGCAGTGGCAATTCAATCATATATTGAATATAATCTGTTTTGTTGCCTCTGTATCATTCAGTGTACTGATGCATGAATGCAAGTGGATTAGAAGGTGATGGCTGAATCTGTTGCCCATCTGCAGCTATCTCTTCTATTGCTGTTCATGGCAAGCGCAGCCCAACTGTACACAAAGTATGACCATTTATGGGCCAGTGCATTAAATAAGCCACAACCTATTTTTGAGTTACGTTCATGCACCATCCTGTGTGCTGTATAATTGAGGAGCTGCTTCACCTGAGTTCAGCTATCCCTTCTGCTGGCATTGGAAGCCATCCGAGAAGACCATGCAGTTAGCAGGAGCAAGTACAGGTTCAACTCTCCAAGTTTAATCTGCTTGCATTCTTAAATCAATAACCCAACTCAAAATAAATGAAGTTTACAGGCTGGATACTAGCACCACACATATCTTGTATTCCTGCATCAGAGAATTTAGTTGTGGGAGTGTTTCTTTCTGAAATAACTGCAGATATATCAGTTTAAACAAATACAGTGTCTCTAGTCTTCAGTGGCACATAGTTGATAGAGGTGGAAGTGAATGGTGGGTTGTACTGCTATATCTGTATGCCAACTGTTGTGTTTTTTCCTTCCTTTTTGCTAGGTTTCACCAAAACTAATACCAATGAGGCAGATTTAAATGTGAAATACAGACTGGGCTTAACTTGCCAGAAGGCTTGTTTCCAAATGGGAGCTCAGTGAAGAGAAAACGATGACTGTTTTGCAATTTTTCTTTTTTTTTTTTTTTAAGGGCTTTGTAAGTAGTTTCCAGATAGTTAAACTCAGGCTAAATGAGTGACTGTCAGCCTAAATTGTATTTTACTTTCATAACATTACCAATTTTAATGGAAGGGTGAATTTATTCCCTGAATTTTGAATAATGTTATACTAAAATGTTAATGAATATTGTCAAAAAAATGCCTTGTAGTCTCCCTGCCAAATACTACATTTTTTACACAGAATCAGAAAATGACCACGCAAAACTTATGATTGCCTCTGCTTTTCCTGATGTCATTAATCTTACAAGTCACTCCATTGCTTTGGAACTACAGCACTTACCATGTCCATTCTCCTCTAAGGGTGTGGGGTTTTTTTTCCAGCATGTTCTATAGCAAATGTACGCAGCTGTAGAGAGACATCAGAAATATGGATTTGCCTTTTCCTGAATGTTCTAATGAGTCTGTGACAAAACTGTTTATACCGGTGGAAATAACTGGGTCCTTAGCCCTGAATGTATCTGCTGTTTCCACAGTGTGTGTCTGTTGGCGTTAAGAAGCCTACACCTCCCAAAGTCCAACCTCTGACCCCTTCTGGTTAAATCATACAGACTAGAATGGGGCTAGTATGAAGGAGGAAGATTAAAAAGTCTCTGTCCCCGTGCAGACAACTGGTAGCTGCACAATTGTCCCAGGTGAACCACTCTTACTCTCCAGATATAATCCTTCTCCCCAGCCCTCATTCAGAGGCAAATGAAGATTGTTTCTGGAGTGAGGTCTGGCCTTCCAGTGTTACATACAGAAACAGGGGAAGAGAATGGTGGGGGCACTTGGAAGATTCTTCTGAAGGGAATACAGTTGGTTAAGGGTAAAAGCAGTAAGTTTGCACCACTTGCTGATCAAGGCATCGGCAAAAACTAAAGAGTTTGGAACCCAAACTTGTGTTAAATAGAATGAACGCCGTGAGACAATCAAAATGAAAAGTCATTCTGTGATACTGGTTCTGCTATTTGATAAAGATCTTCCTTTCCCTGTTATTAATTACAAAATGACTGTTATTTTTGCAAATAGGTAATATGACAGCATTGGATCTCACATCCCAAATCAGCACAATATGTCTTTATTATACAGAGCATGAATTGACTGGAAATCCGCATTTACTAAAATGCAGTGTTCTCTCTAAGTATAATGGTTTCTGTCATTCATATAAATAGGAACACATAAAACACTTCAGTTAAAATAATTCCTGACATAATATTTGACATCAGGACTGGAGCAGATTAAGTGACTGAAAAACATGTAAAATGTAGATGCACAAATAAATATATATATATATATATATGCGCGCCTATCATACATATGATAAGCAGTGTTGGAATATGATATAGAAGGGCATTCTAATATTAGCTGGAGGAGGTATTCCCCATAGTCAGTGTGTGTTGTGGAAGGAATGTAACAGGTTTCTAGGGAACCAGGTAGGAAAATCCTGCAATATTTAGCTCCTGTACTAGCCTTTGTACTGCATTTTTAGTTCTAAAATAGGAAATGCTTCTCTTTCATGGGACAGTTACAGAATTTGTCTTGATCCACACATGGGTTTTAGAGCAGTAAAACTGTTTTGATTAGAGAGATTATTTTGTTTACTTGCACTTACTCTAAACAATTCTTTGATAATCTCTTGTCGATACCAGAATAGGTTATCCTTTGTCCCACAAAGGAATAAACAAAATGCCTTTGTAAGCATTTTTATGCTAGTACAAAAGTACTCCCGTAATACTAAGTTGTATGACTTGAACTCATGGCTACTAATGGGTGGTAAGCTGTTGTATAGCCTGAATGTGTAGGCAAGACCTGATGCTGAGCCCATGGGAAAGAAACGTGTTGTACAAAGACTAGTGTTAATTTCATGACTAAACATATACAAGTGACCTAGTTGATGGGTAATTTTCATGCAAGACTTGAAACTACATTGATCAAAGTGCTCCAGAATATCTTAACCCACGATTAGCACAAATTAGTTTTTACCTAGCTTTAGTTTTCACCTGTTTCGTCTAATTAGCTGTATTCCCTATGTTATTCACGCATTCCAAACAAGTTACTTTCTTAAAGTTTGGCCATTTCTATTGCTGTGGAGGTGGACTGAAGTTCTGCTGACAGAGGTTTTGCAGATTAAAAGTCTCTATATAACAAAAGTTGACTCTATTTTAGCTCAGTATGAAACAGTTTTGGTTTTGGATAGAGCAGTCTAGAGGCCTCTTTTCCAATCCATAAAGACACTTCAGTGACAATTCTGACCCTTGTGGAGCTGTACACAGCAAAAGTTGCCTATCTTTGCCTTCAGGGCCAAGGATGGGTGAAGAGCTACTGAGGGGATGGGTGTGATCCCTGAAGGTGTCTTGTTCATCGTCACTCAAAGCTCTCGTAGAGAGTACCCAGAACAGATGCTGTTTTTAGGGGCGGAGTATAAAAACTATTATACAGGGGAAGTGAGTTACTATTAACTTATCCAGAGAAAAAATATATATTTAAATAGCTGGGGAGGTCTTAAAGAAGTCTATAAATGAAATGTTAGTCTATCGCAATTACCTGTGCTACATTAGTTGTAGGACTGATTAGTTAATTACAGGGAACATTTATTGACATATATAAAGTACAGGAGAAGTGTCTGAGGGCAGCATCAGGTGTATGCTGCTTCTGCCATAGAACTATGCTTTGCTGGCATACGCACAGAAGCCATCATTGTCATTAATATATGGCTATAAAAAGACTAATGACCTGGTAATGTCTGGGAGTTCAGCACCTTGGTTTCTGAAGCAAAGAATTAGGAGCCAAGAACTCCTGAGTTTCATCTTTTCCAGTTCTCCACTTACTGCCTTGAGAAATGTCATCTGCGCTCTCTGCCTTGTCTCCTGTTGATGGAAAAGGGGATGTTTTTCTTCCTACCTCACAGGGATGTTGTGAGGAATAGCCAGCTAAGGTCTGTGCAACAGATTATTTTTCCTCTTCAGCTTGGAGATCACACTTGATCA